AAAGGCTGACTTAACGTTTTCTCGTGATGGATGGGAATTGTGAAACGTTAAGACCTTACGATTCTAGTGCAATTGAGTGTAACAATACTAGGTTCGTGACATGACTTACGTCCTCCCAGGTCGAGGCCGATTCATCCCAATAGCGGCCGCAACACGACACAGGCAGGGAGCTTCAAGCAAGACGGAATTGCTTTGCAGCAGGGAACGTACGCAAGATAAATACTGGCAGATTGCCAATAGATTGTAGGCGGGAAACGCAGACAAGACACCAGCTAGGGAACGTAGGCAGCTATGCAGGCCAGAAATGAGGTTTCTCTAAATCCAAAAACTACCATTTTGAGGAGAAATACCGTGGACTGCAGCCAACTTGTGGAACTTACATGGAAATGCCAAGGAGGAAGCAAAGTTCAATTTGGCTACTATGAAAGGATCTTGTCTACTTGCATTGGAGTTGCAGAGAATTGCCACTTGCAATGAAGCAAAGACCAAATTGACTACCACATGCTCGAAGGAGGCTAATGCAAATTGCATACAACTTGCAACCAATGAAGACCCTTCGATCAAATTAATTTTGGCCATTGATTCCATGGCAACTTACAAGTTTTTGCCTATAAATAGAGATGTAGTCTCATTTGTAAATCATAAGGAGTAAAGTAAGTTTAATATTTGAGAGAGATTGTAAAGTTTTCCTTTCATTTATACAAAGAGAGAGTTCTCCCTAACTTTTTTTGCTTGTATATTCCACTTCAAATTCTCTTCTCAGAGTTGTTATAATTTAGCCTCATTGGCTAAGTTATTGTGAGTGTTGAAAAACCGACTTAACGTTTTCTTGTGAGGGATGGGAATTGTGAAACATTAAGGCCGCACGGTGCTAGTGCGTTCGGGTGTAACAAAACTAGGTCCGTGATAGGTGGTATCAGAGTAAGTTTACTCTGAACGTTGCGTTGTTGGTTATCCAAGACTAATAGCGTACGTTCTTGCGAAGAAAGTTTTGGGACCACCAACATGTGGCAAAAGCTATCGGCAAGCAAGCGAAAGTGAGGATGGAAAGTTTTGAGGATGATGGAAAAAGGGGCATGCGTTATGTAGTTTTGCCTACTACATGATGGTTTGCTTCGCTGAGCATGGTAAAAGCATTGTTGTTGAAATTGAAAAGTGGGGCATTGCTGTGAACTACTTCGACATGCGTCATGATGCAGCGGCCAGAGGAGTCGTCCACTCGAGGAACTAATACAGAGGAGTCGAAGATGGTATGTACGGGTTACTGCGAAAAGAGGTGTAGGGGGTATTGTGGACACCCGCACATCAACGGGATGGTACCACAGTTGTGGAGGAATTTTCGAACCCACTAGCATGGAGTATGCAATGCACGGAGAGGCGAAGCACACGTTTGCTACAAAGGCTTTAGTGGATTGTGTAGGGGAGTAACTTACCTAGAGAACTCCCCTACTCGTGGCATGACAAGATTGCTCATTGCAAGATTATTACTATATTTTTGGAAGTGCACTAATGATGTCCCGTATGCAGGTATGATGGCAAGCTTCTCATCTCCTTATATTGTGCTTATATTGCACATGTTAGGTTGCTGGCCGCATGTTTGGGGAAAGGTTACCCCGGGGATAATGGCAACTCGGGGGTCGAACAGGCAGTCCGTTACAACACACTCATATGGAGAAGCACAGGTACTTTCTACATGTACTGATGTACATGCATTTATGAAGTTTCTTGATGAAAATGCTCACAAAATCTTACATAACTGAAATATTAGTCTGAATAGCTTATTAGTTGGAGCACTTCTGATGAAATATTAAGTGCTACAAACCTCTTTGAATATTAACGATATAAGCTGGTCACACTCCATTTTTATTCAACACACTGGAGCCATAACATTTAGCTGCCTTTTAACCACACATTATTTGAGACATACTACTTATAAGCACGTAAAATCTTATCCAACCATATATTAAGAGTTGCATGCATATGCATAAGAACGGGTGTACGGTGAGAACAGAATTGAGCTTCAAGGCTGCAAGACAAAAGGTTACATGGTTCATGCAGGTGTTTTTCAACTGGGGCTACGTGTATGAATATCATCGCTGTTAATTCATTAATTTTGAGTTTTTAACCAATAGCTGCAGCCAAACTGCAGGCAACATATATAACTAAGATTTGAGTTTAAACAGAAAAAAGTTTCAATAATTATACTAGTTTGGTTTAAGACTTCAAGTTACTACTTTTGTTATATAAATAACTGTTTACCCTCTGAGAAACATTGGGTCACGTCCCCTTTTTCCCATATCCTTTTTTTTCCATGGATAAAATTAGGGTTGGGCAAAATATCTGAACCGAACCGAATCGAATTGAACGGGTTTTTTAAAATGAAATACCCGAACGGGTATCCGAATCGAGAATCGAATGGTTCAGTTCGGTTCTCGGTNCAATTTAGAGTTTATTTATGTTTGTTAGTTGTGTTTTTTTCAATTTTTTCTTATATAGTTTCTTAATAGTTAGTATGGAAAGTCAACCAACTAATAATTACATTAAATAGTTGGTAAGTATTATCAATACTTTAAAATATTTTATATTTGTGACTTCTAATTTATATTTCACTTTTATGTAGATTTGAAGGTTTGAAGCAAATGAATTATTGATATGAATATCGAAGTTTTATTAGTAATATTTACTTTTTGGTATTTGTATTTGACAACTTATTATTGATATGTTATTAAATTAGATTACGTTAATTTGTAAAAGTTAAGATTGAACTTGATATTTGTATCTACTTTTTGTTATTAATATTAGTATCTACTTTCAGGTGTATTTATGTAGCATTATTTTAAATGTTAAAAAATTTAATTATAGTACGGAACTGAACGGAACCGAATAGAACCGAACCGAAACCGAACGGTTCCAAAATTATATTTGGAACCAACGGTTCCATTTACTAAATACCCGAAAATTTCTGGAACCGAAAAAAACCGAACCGAACCAAACCGAACCGAATTGACGCGCGCCCACCCCTAGATAAAATCTCAGGATTTGGATAAAAATGTAGAATGTCTCATTTAAATGAACTGTCTATCTCGAATGGAAGCTTTACAGTACCTTGTACACATTTTTCTGTTTCTTCCCGTGGTGAACATATCTTGCCTTGAAAACTCAAGCTTCTTATCTTCATGTCATCTGTCCTAAAGACTGTTATCTCTCCTTTTTCTTTTCCTTGTCCATTATCACTCCCATGTGACGGCTCAACCCTTCAGCATCTTAAATATTTGAAAACACTGAACATATTCTTTGTAAGCATGCTTTAAGTGATGCATTTTGTTTTGGCAAATGTTCCTTTATTTGGTAGCTTATCTGCATTTCTTTCAACGGAAAAGGAGATATAAATGTGGAGTACATGATGATCCCATTAACAATCACTCGAACAAGTTAGTGATGGAAAAATTATATCTAGAACCATATTGAAGATGGATTATCAGGAAACTTGAAAATGGTACAGGGTGAAATATTGTATTACATTCTCTGTGCTTGTGCAAGTATAGTTTCTGATCTTCCTTAATGGATATTCGTCAATAGGTTTCTTATGAAGCTCTACTTGGGTCTTTTATATTCTTGGGACAGACGATGAGTTTTTTTTTTTTTTTTGTAGATCACCATAATATTGAAGATAGTACCTGCAAAAGTGATCATATCTGTTGTTTTCTGCAGAAAGCTTCAAGACGATTTGACTGATGAAATGGTTGGTTTGGCATGACAACTCAAAGAGAGCACCCTGATGATGAGTCAATCGATACAAAACACTGAGAAAGTGAGTTCAAAACTCTCTTGCTGAAATTTTAGGCACTAGGTTGCTTTGATATATTTATATAGAAATCGTATTTCTTTTTCGAGTACTTGGTAAGTAATCCTTTTTATACAAGGCAGGTTACCGAGCTGATTTTTTTTTAAAACCTATTTACTATATCACTCATCGATCAGTGATTTTAAAATTGTTCTCCATGTGTTGGTTGTCTTTTGAGTGTAGATACTTGACTCAACAGAGAAAGCAGTTGAGCAGAGCTTGGCGAGCACTGGACATGCCAACACTCGGGCAATGGAGGTATACTCGCAGAGTTTCAAGACATTGTCTGCCACATGGCTTGTGGTTTTTGTAATGATTTGTATCTTTATCATGGTTGTACTACTCATCCGTGTTACTTGATATCAGAAAAGCACCGAACTTGTAAAATTTTAGACTTAATGGTAGTTTGGAGTTTATCTTTGAAGTGAAATCATGTACATATACAAAGGAAAAAATGAAGCTTTCATTATTTCGAAGCAGGAAGCTATTCTATATATATGTTTTTTTTTTGTTTTTTCTTTGTAAAATATGAGTTGTTTTTGGCTCTACTTCTCCTTCAAAAGTTCATATTGAATAAAGCACTTTATGATCTTAGAGATTCATGACCAGTCATCGAGACATGTCTGCATAGACCAGTCACAAGGAATTATGGGTCTATAGACAAGCAAGACATAACCTGACTCTAGAGATAGGTCGGTCCACAGTACATGATGTGTCAGGCTAGGCCGAGGATGTGGTTTCATGTGCCCTATTGTTTAACCCTTGAATGCTCGATACATTTTTGAGTCTTTGACGCACCCTAGAGCAAGTTGTCATTTGGAATGTTTCATGGAGACTGGCTCGACATCACTAACATTCAGTTCAAGTTAGCAAATTTTTAGGATTAACCAAGCAATTCAATTTCCAAGATCGTTATTCTTACAAATTCAACCTGAAAACATTCCAAGAAAGATCACTCTCTATAGAAACAGTGAATAACTATCTAGCCTAGAGAGAGTCTCTCGAATATGAAGCCATCAGTCAAACTCAGTTCCACTTTAGAGCCTTCATGTGAAACTGTAAACAAACTGATTCCATAGAAATCTTACATTTGTGTTGTGTTATAAATTTTTGATTCTGTAGCTTCATCTTCTTTCCTCGTTTTACGAGAATTACGTTACCTCGGTCCTGAGAGTTCCATTGCTTGGACAAGCAATGAAGAGTCATCTGTTAGATCAGAATATCTCTCTGAGGAGGATAATTCATTGGCTCTCCATCTTGTACCATCTGCTCTATGAGAAGCTTCCCACTTTTCTGCGAGTCCATCTCCTTCAAGCATACGAACCACTTCAGACATTTTCGGTCTGTAGCTAGGAAGGTACTGTGTGCACAACAAAGCAACCTGTACTGTTTCCTCAAGCTCGAGTCTATCATAGTTGTTTCTCAAGTCCTTGTCCACGAGCATGTCTAGCTTCTTTTCTTGATGAATTTTCCTCACCTGCAGCCATAGCAATATGTACATTAAATTAGCAAATCCCTAGTTTTTAAGTGCATGGTTGGTACACAATATTAGACCTCACAGTTTAACTTCAATACAGTTTGGTTTTCTATTGGTACTTACCCAATCAAGCATAACTCCTTTCTGATTTGCTGCTTTCCCAAATTCTAAAGCTTTTTGACCGGTGATCAATTCTAGTAGAAGAATTCCAAACCCAAAAACATCTGTTTTTTCCGAGGATTGACCTGTAGAGAGATACTCAGGTGCTATGTGTCCGACAGTGCCCCTAACGGCCGTTGTGATATGTGAATCGTGATGATCCAAAAGCTTTGCCAATCCAAAATCTCCTACGACAGCCTCACAGAAATCATCGAGCAATATGTTTGCAGCCTTTACATCCCTGTGAATGATCTTGGGATCACATTGCTCGTGAAGGTATAACAAACCACGTGCGGCTCCTAAGGCAATCCTTTTCCTAGTGCCCCAATCCAAGGACGGTTTGGCTACAGAATAGGAACAATAGGTTCAATAATACTATCAGTGAAATATGTAAATGATGAACATACCATGGGAATGAACAACATTGTCTAGTGCGCAGAATTAAGGGATAGAATCCCACAACGAATAAAGATGTAAATATAAACCAACTTATAAAGGATTGAATTGCTCCTCTTAATAAGGTTGACTTTTCAAGATGGAACCTCAATTCTAAACATGGTATCAGTGCTAGTTAAGCTCTAACGAGCAATTCGATCCGATTATGACTCCAAAAATAAACATACGAATTTCAAGATTGGTCTGCTCAAACGAGCCACCATCTTGCGGGGGCATGTTAAGTGATAGAATCTCACATCGAATAAAGATGTAAACATAAACCAACTTATGAAAGATTTGTTTAATCCTTTTAATAAGATTGACCTTTTAAGATGGAACCACAATTCTTAACATAATATGATGTACAAGTGACATACGATTTTGGAACATTTTACCTTTGAGTCGTGAAGCAACACTTCCGTTGGACATGAAGGGATACACAAGTAGCCTTTCAGTAGATGTCATGCAAAACCCGTACAGTCGCAGGAGGTTTCTATGTACGGCTAGGCTGATCATTTCAACTTCGGTCTGAAATTGAATTTCTCCGCCGATGGCATTCCCATCTTTAAGCCTTTTTACAGCTACAACTGTTCCATCTTGGAGACAACCTTTGTAGACAATTCCGAAACCGCCCTTTCCTAGTATGTTCTTGCTGCTGAAGTTGTTTGTGGCACTCTGAAGTTCTCTAAATTGGAACCTTCTCAAGTTTCCTAGACACACTTCTTCGTGATGTTGTTCTGAAATTTAGAAGTGTGTGTTTAGACATAAAATAGTCGACTCGCTTCAAGAGTCCGAGTATTGAGCAACTATATCATACATACCATTACCATCGAAGAATATTTGCTGGTTGTGCTTATGTCTCCACCAGAGAAGGAAACTGAACCCAAGAATCAATAGGCAAATGCAGCCGAGACTGGATCCTAAGGCTAAGGCGATTTTACGACTATTGGACGTTCTAGATGGCTGAGGATCTTCAAGAAAAGCATTGACATTTCAGTGCAGGACATGGATTCAATATATTCACTTAAAATTCGATGTCATGTAGATAACATAAATATCTTGTTGATTAAATAGTATTCGACACTGTTAAGGTATGTAAAAATTTATATTTCTATTTATTATATTATTCAGTCATGTGTACTGCATGCTTACTTGCACAAAGTAATATAATCAACAAGAATAAGCAGAGTTTAAGGTTTTTACTTTGTGAATTGTTCATAGAGAATGGCAGTGGCAATGGTGCAGATCCATTGCAGTCTTGCTCTTTCCCAGTTGCACAAATCATAGGATTCCCCAAAACACTGCAAAAACGGAGAAAATAAAACAAATATTAGTTAAAAAATACTAAAATTGAAGTTAAAATCTTGAGTTTCTACTTGCAAAAGATTGAAACTAACTTGAATGTTTTGGAGACGATTCTTGGTACTGGACCACTCAAATTATTGAAGGACAAATCTCTGAAAAATGCAATGAAAATTCCAAATACATTAAGAGGAATTCTAATAGAGAAATTAGTAATTATATGCATTAAACAAGCAAAAATGTCGAGAAATATTACACAAATGTGAGTTGAGTCAAGTTGCCTAAAGAAGGAATAATTCCAGTGAGACTGTTATTGTTCAATCTCCTGCAATCACAATACAGAAAATGGAAAAATAAATTGCGATACGTATAACTTCGATAAGACTGTAGGATTCAGGGGATTCTTCGAAACTAGTCAAGCAGAGTAAATAATTTCCTTGTTATGTGAGTTTGTTACGCTCGACTGGACATGATTGCGTTAGATTCTTGTCTTTCTCAATCATGTCAAGTCTAAACATTGCTCAATAGCGTAAAAACTACATCAAATTACGTGCTTACAAGTACTGGAGGCTTTTTATTTGAGATAAAGAAGAGGGAATTGGGCCAGTAAGCAAGTTATCAGAAAGATCAATAGTCTGAAGTTTTGGGAGCCTCCCTAGCTCAACAGGTATTGGTCCTGTAATATTATTATCCTGTAACAATCTGTAAAAAAATAAAAATAAATAAATAATAATAATAATCAAATCACATAAAAAAATAAGAAAAATTGTTATATCAGTGCACATTTGGTGTACACTACTAGACAATATTGAACAGGAAACCATGTCCAGCACTATCTAGTCGAGCCTGCCAAATATTATATTCTTACATGCTCTGAAGATGGGTCAAATTCCCGATGCTAGGCGATATTTTTCCAGATAAACTCTGGCTTGGAGCTGCTCTGAAACATTATAGAATCCAACTTTTTTAAAGACAAAAATAAGCAGAAAAATCTCAAGTTGAAGATATGAAACTTGTTGATTATCTTATTCTTACAGGGTAATGACTAGATTGTCTTTTGAACAAGTAACCATTGCCCAATTACTACATGGATCAACAGCATTTGCATCCCAATTGAGAACTCCATGAGGATCAATTAATGAACTCTTGATTTCCATCAAAGCTTGCACTGGAAAGTTACAGAAATCAAGACCAAAATAATCAGAATCTCAAAATAATCAGAATCTTGAAAGTTACTTATAATCTAAAAAATAATAATCTGTTTTTACCTTCAAAGTTGACACCATTTGGAGAAAGCAAAGCATTTGCAGAAGCCCAGAAGCAGAAGATAAAAACCCAACAAAAAACAGCTAATTTTCTTATCATTTTTATCAAGGGAAAATTTGAAAAACTAATCTTCAGATAGAAATTTGAGAGGCAGATGATGAACAATATTCGTATATGTAATAAGAAGTGTAATGATTCACAGATTCTGTTAGACCCCAATAAAAGAACAGATGTTTTTGGTAGTAAAAGTGAAGGCTAATTGGCTGCCACTTGCCCAGCAAATTTTAAAAGAACAGAATATGTATAAAGCAAACTTAGATTAACTGTGTAGTAGATTCGATTGAAGAGGATTTACCTTGGACTTGTTTTAACAAGACGTGGCTCATTTAAGAACATCAATCTTGAAATTTGATTGCTCATTTGAACTTTTAGAGGGACAAATTTATTCATTTGAACTAGTTGAATTCTAATAGACTCTCGAGGTTCCTTGTAAAAATGTCAATATGGTTAAGAGATGTTGATTATAATTTCAATATTTAATCAATATGGGATCTACGTACACTTGACAAAAATCTTATATGTTATGGCATTCACTATTGGACAGATTAATAGAAGAAGAAAAAGTTAAAATCTTGTGCAATATTATTAATTTACTACTATTTAATACTATGAACATGTAAAAAAGGTGATTGGGGAATAAGAAAATTCCTTCAATCATGGATTGTGTAATGGGATTCTTTAGAATTTATTTTGTTTTTATTCTGACTTTTACATAATAAAAAATGTGAAGTATTTGATGTGCTGACTGTTAAGCACTATAAATGGTAATAGAATCAAAGGATGTTGACAGAGAGCATTTTATGGGTTGGTTTTGTTGGGGTCGGGTGGGGTCGGGTGGCGTGGGTATGTATAATGTATCTACACATGTGAAACAAGGACTTTTCATGTCTGTTGGATTTGATCAGAATACATGCGCATTAAGATTTTTTATGGGTTCTGTTAAAATCAAACATTCTCTGAGTTTGTCATTTTTGTTTGAATTACACGAAAATACATGGAAACGCAACAGAAATCGATAATGAAATGTATTGCACTTTCTTGGACTTGGCACAAATTTTAATAGTTGGGGTAGCGATGATACGTTAACTCAATCTTTTATTAATTTAAATTAGCGAAGGATTCAAATATTTTTTATTGTAGGATCAAAAAGTAAGTGACGAATTTTTTTTCGAAAATAATATAACTGCGGCATCAACGAGTCGAACAATGATGGACGTTGAAATTGTTAGATCCTATATATTATGGAGAAATGAAAATTAATTAATGATTTAAAATTTGAGCAGTGCACATTGTTCAAAAGATGAGAGAGATAAAAATTTAGGGGTCGTTCTCTTCATATTTCAGTTTTGTATTTTGAGTTTTGAATTCGTTTTGTATTTTGTGTTTTGAGTGTCTGTTTTGAAATTTTTGAAAATGCGTTCTTTTTTTCTGAAAAACTGTTTCCGAAAGCATAAAAATGAAAAACGCGTTTACTTTGAAATTTTGATAATTTTTTTTAATAATATTTTATTCAAAAATTTTGATTATTCAATAAATTTTAATAGTTTAATTAAATAACATATATGAAGTTAGTGAATCTTAAATTTTTTTTTCCAACTATATGTATATAATTTTAGATTTTTGAGCAAGAAAATTAAGATTAACAACATCAATTATGTCGATACGCCTCATAAATAGCTTGCCTTTAGCTCAACTCAACAAAATCAAAAAATGAAATCGAGGCATTGGAGTGCGCTTAGCAACCTTAAGCGACGTCTCCCCATAACCATATATCGAATTAAGCTTGACAATTAATTACTTTACCAGTGTCATAGATCGAAATAGTCAAGAGGCATAAGACCATGTAAATGCACTTCCTTCACAATATGAAATTAATAGATAGTGACTAATTCTTGTAAGCATCCTTAAAATACATAGTTTTTCAGCAAACAAGTAGGATAACATTCTTATACAATAAACTCTTTAAAATACACGATTTTTCAACCCCTCCAATAGAACTCCTATCATTTATATAAAGCCAGTATGCAGCAAACATTCTTATACAACCTCTTAAATTCAAGCTAGCCCTGTTTAACTAGCAGGAGAACTAAACAAGAAAAATCATTACAAAAGATGCATGCAAGATTCCCTAAAAAATACTTGGACTTGAACTCAGCAAAAGAGTTGCCTGATTCCCATGCATGGAAACCCCTTGATCATGATCTTCCATCAGATAGTGCATGTAAACTAGAGTCTGTTCCAATAGAATACAATCAACTTTATCATACTGGAAGGCAGGTGAATGAAAATATAAGTCCCAATGGAAGGGAAGCAATGCCCACACCACCAAATATCTTGTGAAAATGAAGCACACATTACATTTGAGAATGTCTTGGCATGAAAGAGAATAGACAAGAAAAGCCTATAATCTTATGCAACATCAATATGTCACGTCTTTCTGGACTAAAATTGG